TTCTCTTGATTAAAGTTAGAGAATGCCTAAAATGATACTAAAATGGCCTACAAAGTTTAGAATTACCTTAAAAAACTATGTTTAAAGCTCATATTTCTAACACGCGTTAAGCTACACGACTTGAACGTTATTCTGGCTTATTTCAAGACTCCCTTTATCTTGAAAACGTAAACAATGTTCAAGTAACGCTTTACCGAGAATTGTAAATAAAAAACTTATGTTTCTAACCGTTATGAGATTCTTTACTGTGATAGTTTTAAGATGTTGAAGTGACAACGACATGTTTCTTTGTATATCTAGGAGTTTTTAGGATATGTCTATCTCTGCGCCTAATTTTATCGAGATCGTTTCAGCTATTTTGGAGTTTTGCGAGTGACAAACACAATTTGAGATAGTTTTTTTAAGGGATTGGGAGGCAAACGAGCAGACGGATCACCTGATGGTAAGCAATCAGCGCCGCCCATGGATATTAGATACGCAATTTAAATGAGAAGTACGCTCTTTTCTTGAAAATTTCAAGGTCATATCCGTTCTATGCTAAGCGCTTTAAAAAACAGGATAGGACGCCATTTTCTTCTTTGCAAAGACAACTTAACTATTCACTACTAATGCTAATAATAAGCTAAATTGCTGACCACCGAGGCGAAATAGCGTGAACGTAGATCGTGACTTGAAATATGTGCTTAACTTTAACACATAACCGACTTTATTTACTGAATGGATACGGTTGGAAATTGATAGAAGATTTTTAAGAATTGAGGATAGCTTAATATGCGGTTGTACAAGTACTTTTAAGGTTTTTAAAGCAAAAAAAAGGGGTTAGATAATGTCTAAAAACGTCCGGCAGGTCAGAAATTCCTTGAAATTGTGATTAAACTGGTTTTGTAGACTACGGGTAGGTGTAAAAAAACTTTTATAGGCTGTGAACTTTCATCTACCCGCAATTTGATGGCTTTTGGTGACCCAAAGTATTATTCGAACGCTTTTTTTGGGTTTGATGGTACTGTTATCTTTACAAGCTTATGAAAATAACTGAAGATCTTCAGTCCTAGACTGCAATTGGGTGTCGTCAAGGCCCGAGTGAATAGGATGTGCTCCATCGTAGACCGCATCATCGCTTACCACCAGGCGAAATAGTGGTCAAACGTCGGTCTAGCAAATGTAAAAAAAAACTACGGCGATGTATCCCGGTACTGAAAAAAATCAAATCCCCTAAAACTAAAATTATACTAAGACAACAGCGACAACGAATTTTAAGGCACTAGGTCACTAAGCCAAAATAATTTTAACTAGACGTAGACGGCCCAAAAACGGATAGGATTTTTTACGACAAACCGACTCACCGAAAATAGCGTAACAATGGTAGGAAGTTAAACCCAGTAACGGATGCTACTGCCGTAACGGTTGAAAGGCTTCGAAAATAAAAGTTCTTAAGTTAAAACGAAAGTGAGATTTTTTAGTCTGCAGTTGTTATTGTCTGAGTTTGTTTCGGCATTTCTTCTCAGAGTAGTCAGTTAGGAAATGTCGACCTCATCGTTCGCTTGATAAAATTGACGTGTGTGTGACGTTGCTGCCTTGTAGCCTATTTGCAGAAATAAATTCACTTGTTTCACTTGTTGCATTGCTTTAGTAAATGGTGCTTTCACGGTTTTTTTGCGAATTGCGATCTTTGTAATGGTTATTGGCGAAAAGTTAGTGTGAATCTATTATAGTTAGACAGTTTTGGATTTTTTTATAAATAAATGGCTCAATTGTACTTAATTGACTGCACGGTTGGCGCGGTGGTTGGGCAGCCGCGCAACGTGTCGCGGGTACGATTCTCGATTCAATAATTAATTGGGTATGTATCACAAAACTTCTATGCAATAACAATTGTTCTTATTTTGCTCATTTTAACGTCTTCTTTCAGTTTTTAAATGTGGTTTGAGCTCGAGACAGGCCCGGCGTTGTACTAACACTCAATCGCCGAGATTGTTATCACATCCGACGTTTGACCTCATTTGAACCACAAAACAGGTCGACTAACGAATCCAATACAAAATAAAAATGCAACAGGTTGTTCCCGAAAACTAGTTTTGGATTAGAGAATTTAACGTATCTATCTCCTATAAAACCGGTTACTTTACGTCTACGTATCTACGTCGCCTCTCTAAATTATGTAGTTTTTTTTTCATTAAATTAGAAAAGAGGTGGGATACGGGCATATTGTTGTCTCGCCTTAGACCGCAGCCGTAAAAATTTCTTTGTTGTTTTGTTTATGGTTTTTTTTTTTCTTTTGTTTTCGTGCGGTCGTGTAGGTGGGTTAGTGATTTTGGACGTGATAATAATGTTAGAATCGTTTTTGTTAGTAAATCGATAGATATTGTTCTTAATTCATCTCCTATTTTCATCATATCAGCCCCGTACTGTCCCCTGCCCCCCACAGTCCTCCCCCAATGACTACACATCGCGAGGTTGGACGCGACCTGCGTACAGCAGCTGTCACAGACCTTTATCCAGGTCTTCGGTCAATTTTATGGGTCCAATAACAATGACACTAATATCAAAACAATGGGTGAAAAGTATCATTTCACATCTAAGCCTCTACAATCACCAAAAACAACACGAAATCATATTTTCAGAACATAGGCACGCGTTCATTTTATCAACATGACCTACTTTTTACTTCTGTTTTAACGAAGCTAATTTCGAGTCGACTATTGCGTTCATTCATAAATGTCTATACGTATCATAATATGTTATTGTTTTGACGAAATGCTTGAAGTTATCCGTCAGAATTTTGCATATAAACACTCATACACACGTTTTTGCTGAAGATAGAGGCTAGATGAGAATGGCCAGTTTATAATTATGTTGACGGGAGTCATAATTTCTTACACGATCTTTCAATCTGTTTTTTAGATTACTAGGCCATCATAATTAATGCATATGTAGGTTTAAAATGCATACAATATAACAGGAAACAAGCAAACATAGATATACATAATTTTAGTACACCGAACGTTGACATTCCAACTATCGGATGGCGGTTCCCGCCAATCCTGGCATCGCTATCTCTTTCTAACGCACACGTTCCCATAAGAGAAAGCGAGACAGCAATACAAACAACTTTTATCGGTTATTCTTATTGCTGACATCCTATTTACAGATAAAAACTCTTTTTGTTGTTCTTTTATGAATTGTATGTGAATTATTGTGGCTATTTTGTAGGTAAGGTGTTTTCCTGTATTGCGAAAACAATAAAAACAGGTGGTTTACCTTATTTAAAGGTAACTATAATAATCTTTACACTACATGAGCTGATTACATGTGAACATTAGCTCATGACGATTACCTAAGTACCTACGTGTGTCGATGACAAGTCAACCTCGCTAGCCATCATATGATTAGACAATACGCTGCTTGTGCTGCGTAAACCCTGAATAAAGGGATCAGTTTCGCCGTAGACAAGTCGGCAAAGTATAACAGTCCAACTAAACTATAGACCCACATATCCCATGATATAATTTCACTAGAAGAAATTCTAATTTCGCTTTCATAACACTTTCGCGCTATACCATAGAGTCGCGACTTCAAAAAAGGTCGTTCACCTAGTCTATGCTTCAAGGCTACTGCGAAGTGATGTCATTAAGCACTTCAAGTTTTTTGCGCATATTATTATTAGTAACATGTGTTAGTTTAAAAAGATTTGAAGTTTTTAAAGTTGTGATAAGCTTTAGATAGTAAAATTTTAACATTTTGCATTAAGGTAAAGGCAGGCTGTATAAAGTCAATACCTTTGCTTCCTTTTAACCGTGAAGGTTGGTAATAATATAAAACCTTGAATGTCCTTGACTATGGATTATGTCTATCTCTATTTTATCCAAGTAAAAGAAAGAGATGGACAAATTATGACATTTTAAGTGCCTAAAATGTTTCCATTCCTAGAAGATGTCTCTATATTATCCTTATTATCGTTATGTTTTGCAAATTCCGCGTCGATAAATAGGTATCAGATGTTCAGAATTCTTGATGTATGAATGCGATTGGCAACAGAAGCAAAATAAGTGGTTATGTAAGGAGCATAGTAATACCTAGGTGGTGTTCTATGGTTTCGACTTTCGAGTTCCGACACTTCCGACGCATTTTCAAAGTCTTCAAGTCAGATACACTGTAATGGTTTTGAATAATAACTAAATTAAGTTTTTATGAGCAGGAAACAGGTCCATGTTAGTCACATGGTCTTAAAATGCGATGTCTAAAGTCCGTCAGATCTCAGAATCAAAAGTATAGTTATCTCTACAGCCTATTAATAATTGTGTAGATTTCCTTGCTAGAAATTTCCCACATTTAGGTATTGGTGCTTATGATATCAAAGTACTACCGAAGCAAAATCTATGATATAATAATTATTATAGTTGTTACTGGCTGACGAGAGAAGATTTTTTTTGATGATTTTTAACCTGCTTAGGACATTAGACAGAGACCGTGCAGCAGCGCTCTCTGATAAACCTGAACCTCTTATGCTGCTATCTCCAACGCTTGCCTGCGGAGATTATGACAAACCTTTTTATGTAGAGGAGGCTCATAGTGCAGCAGTGGATTGTCACTCGCCGTTGATGATGATGTTGAATAGCGAAATCGAGTAGGCCATGCAACTTGGCTCAAGTTAAAATGTAAACAAAGCCGTTAATTAGACAAAATAGAGTTCTTAAACACCATGGATTACAACTATTAACGTATTAAAATACATTTTGTTAATATATAAGAGCTTATTATAGTTTAGAGTTGATTTTAAGCTTATATATTGATAAGTGTTGCAAAAATAAATGGAAAATATTGTTTTCTTGCACCGGCAAAAATCACACGTCGCCCGTCGGTTTGCAAAAGTTAAGAGTTAACTAACAATAAATATTAACTTAATTAAAGTACCTAAGTAATAAGTAAGTGTAGTTGATATGTTAGTAGATATTTATAAAGAAATAAAAAATAATTAGGTAAAAAAGTTATTGTAAACTTACCCAGAACACTGGCAGTTGATCTCACAATTTTTACTACTTTCTCCCCACATTTTGTCACAATTAAAATAAAACGGTACACAAACACTAATAGTTCATTACTTTTAAACAATCAGTCTTTAAAAGATAGTTTTATCACAGTGAATATTTGGAGAACGCACGAGAGGTCTACTCGCAATGAGCGCCGGACGCAAACTGAAGTCGACTGGCGAACGGACTGGGCAAGTTCCCGCGGGCGCGCGAAACGGCCGTTGAGGGATACCACCCTCTATGTTTTTTGGTAGGATTCCAGGAATGCTACCCTTTTGGTATTATTTTTGGTAATTTTGGATAATAATTTATTTAATCAAATTTTATTGTTGTAAAGAGGTGGTATCTTATTTAATTATAAATAAATCAGTTGTATTATTTATTAAATACATTTTTTAATGATTTTTAGTAGTTTCTGCAAAATTAAACTGTTAAACATAACCTTAGGTGAAATACCTCGTGTGGTGTTTTTTCAACGTTAGTCATACATAAATGTATGAGAAATACTTAAAATATGAATCAATTTACCTTTTCTGTTTAGTAAACTTGATTAATTTAAGCCTATATTAGGTAAAAAGGCGTTACATGAGATTAAATGAATGAAATCCGGTCTAGAAGTATGATCCAACAATAATACTAGATATTGTATGTAGTTTTCATAGGTATTTAAAACTTTGCTAGCTTTTTATTACATTTTTGATTATTTCAATTGATTAGACAAATAAGATCAATAGTGAATAAATTACTGAAACTTGTATTATTTCATTTTTAAGGTAATTTATTATATTAACCAAACATCTAATTCTGTCATCCAATAAGCTCGCTCCTACTGATAATGATGACGTCAGAGACCGTGATTATAAAATATTATGATCGTTCATTCAAGCAGGTAATATATTTAAATATTACTTGGTTGCAGGAAAACTATTCAGTTTTGGTGCTAAATAAGTTAAAAGAGTACTTAAATAAGTCAATACTCTATGTAACTACAGTACTCTTATGAACTACAGTTAGTGCTCGATTATAGAATTTATTCATGTTTGTTGGTATCTAGGGACTATTATTCATATTTCATAATGTTAACTTATTAAACAAAAGAGATTTCTCACGCTTTACGAAGGCATGTGGTCTTTTTGTATTTTTATAATTGAAATTTAAAAAAATAATGCCGTTTTCCAACAGAACAGAAATCAGCTGTTATTTTAAAATATTCTCATATAATAGTAGAATTTTGAATTTTTGAGGATGGCAACTGGAACGAACCCGTCTGAGTAGGTATACCGTATACCTCCTAACTAGATCGAGGATACTGATATCATGTACATCAAATTCGACCTTATATCCTAGGTTATAAAGCATAGTTTACCTCTACTTAACCTTGAATGGAATGCCATACAAAAATCATATGGGAAACGAATCCTGTTCTTACACACACAAAAAATAGCCTGCAAATGAAAATGGATCTAATTTGCTAGATAATAAAGATTCATTTCAATTGAATTTCATAGGGAATCCAGTATCTCACACAAACACATTGATAAAATTCAAAGTAACAATCATATGATCGCATTCTGGACGTCGCAAGCGAAATTCAACTTTTTCGCAATGGGATAAAAATCAAAATCAATTGATGTATTCTTTTGAGGCTTACTTAAAGCCCGCCAAGGCGCCAACTTTTATTTGCAACGGTCGAATAAGGGTTGCAGTACATTTTGTATGCGTTATCAATTTTTTGGAACGCAAATATAACTTGGTGTCTCCCGATACCCTTAAATTCCTTGGCAATCATATGGTCAAGTTTACACTCTAATATGACGACAAAAAACTTAAAAAAAAACTGTTACATCAACTTTTGAATTCAAATATTACGTGATTTGCAATTTAAAGTACAATTTATAACTAATTTCAAACATTGGATGTAAGAAATAAAATCGATCAGCTGTTTTTTGTTATTTCCGCCATCTTGTACAGTTTAGGTTTTTAAATTTTTTTTTTATTCTACCATTTTAAATCGAAGGCGTCACTTTACGTGGCTAACTTTTTTATGTTGGTATTGGTTCTACTTTTGGGAGGTTAATAGTTACCATGATATTGACCACATTTTTCATGGTAAATTATTATTAATACAGTACTGATTAAAATTGTAAACCAGTAACCATAGAATTTCTAGCACGTTCTTCTACATACGAATCTACATTATAGAACGAGCAAAGAACTTCACAATCGAACTAACAGACGTAACATTGTTTAACGTTCAAAATTCAAATTTATTTCTTTTGTATTTGACTCAAAATCTGAAATATAGAACTGTGTAGGAAATCTGATGTTAAATAATTTACCTGTTACATCATCGCGAACCGTTTGGACGAGGTATTACGTAGGCAATTGCAACCATGCGCCTTATTAGAAATAACTTAGATTACCTAACTCAAACAACTTCATAATAGTCTACGCTTTGTCCACTGGAATTAGCCTTTAATAAAGGATAGGTAGGATGCCAACTTTTTTAGAAGAAATAGAGTACCTATATTTGATTTTAAAGAAGGTAAATAAAGAGTACGGACTTACAAAAAAGAGAATCATTTATTTTGTGCTTGTTAAAATTTTTTTAGTTTCGTACTTTTGCATACCAAATTCTCTCAAGCTGAAAATAATTTTTGGGCCACTGTAAACGTGCTACCTTGTATTAACATTAAATAGTAGACCGCATTGAGCAAGCGTGGTGATTAATGCTCAAACCTTTTCCGTGTGAGAAGAGGCTTTGCTCAGCAGTGGGCATTTATAGGCTTGTTGATGATGATAATGATGAGTAGACTTATTATTCTGGTCATGGGGCTTTGCATATTATTACCGACTGGCACTAATTGAGTAAATATTGTTTACAAAAGAGTATTTTAGCGTACTCTATTAGTGTTATAGATTATAGAGGACGCCTACACGATATAGAGGACAATACCCTAATTTTGAGTACGGTTAGCAATCCAAGATACAGGGCCTATATCTTTCTCCGTGTCGCGGAGAATCTAACGGGTTACCGGGGCTCCGGCTCGAAGTGCAGGAGTAGGAACGGGGTGGTGTTTAGTCAGTAAGAGTCTGACACTCCCTCCCGCCTCACCCATGCGGGAGAAGACATTCGATGATTTTCCCCCCTTAAAAAAACAAATCTTTCTCTTTACTCTAAAAAATGATGTAATAATTTCAAAATGTTTCGTTTAGTAGATGAAGCGTTAACAGGTAACAACATAGATACAAAAAAAGCAACTTTACTTTCGCATATTTCTATTATTGACATAATGTGCTTATGAAGTTAAACCTCATCTTTTTTATATTTGATGGGCCGACGTTTGACCACTATCTCGCCTGGTGGTAAGCGATGATGCGGCCTACAATGGAGCACGCCTATACAAGCAACCTATTCACTCGGGCCTTGAAGATACCCAGGTTATACCCTTCGGGAAATACAGACTCTGGCAAAGAAGTCCACTCCTTAGCGGTACGCACAAGGAAGCTTGTTGCAAAACAAATCTTAGTACCTATCCCATTGCAAGACAAAGGCCTCTTCTTACACGGAGAAAGAATGCAATAACCACGCTTGTTACGAATGCTGGCGGATTAACGATTTTAACTCGTTGAGTACCGTCATTCATTATAGACACAATTAAAGAACAATAGGTTGCGGTCAACGGTGACCGCGCGGTGTTTGACAGTTTAAAGTTACTATTATTATTTGTAGTCAAGTCCAGATTTTCTCACGATGCGTGTTCTTTTCCTTTACCGTTTGTCAGTGGTATTTAAGACTTTGACTGCCAATAAAAAACTGTTGAAGGTAAATCCTCTGCTAACGCCGGTCACCGGTGACCCCCATGGCGTTTAACGTGTTAAACAAACTTAGGATCGATTTTCTAACCTTCATTCCACCTTTCATTTTTAACTGTAGAATAAAATTGATATTTAATAGTTTTTCATATGGAAGAATTGTCAAGATAATCATCAGTTGAAAATCTAAATAAAGCTAATAAATAAGCTATAAATATTGGTACTTGCTTCAATTGGTCGATTGGTTGTTTTACTTGGTATAAAACGGCTTATATTTAACTAATCACCAGATATGTTTTTATAATAACTATCGTGAGACGTACTAAATTAACTAAAAATCGCAGGTTACTCAGAACCACAGAGGGGGTTCATGAGGAAGAACCCCTCTGTGGTTCGAAACTAATAGAGCTTTTCTCAGTATATTCACGTAAGTAACCCGCGATTTTTACCACCAGATATAGTAACGAATAGTAGACAAAAATAGTAAATGATTACCAAAATGAAACCCGCATTTTAGTGTAAAATTATAACCAAAGTTTTAACACTTTGCTATCCTGAGGCGTTAGTACGAATTGTTTTACGTTTAAAGTATTTGAAACGAGTACGCGTTCGGCGCTCTGATTGGCCAATCAGAGCGCCGAACGCGAACTCGTTACGTGTACTTTAATCGTACAACAAACTCGTACTCGCCTCTGTTTGCAATTTGGTGGTCGAATACAATATAAAGTGGAGTCGTGACTAAAATAGCTGGTACTTACTAATGTTTGTCTTTATTTTTCTGGTGTAAGTAGATATCTTTGGTTACAAAACTAAGGGTATCAAAGCATGTCGCGGAGAACCTAACGGGTTACCGGGGCACCGGCTCGACGTGCAGGAGAAGGAACGGGGTGGTTTTTAGTCAGTAAGAGTCTGACACTCCCTTCCGCCTTACCTAGGCGGGAGCAGTCATTCGATGATGTTCCCTCCTTAAAAAAAAGGGTATCAAAGCATTTTATGCTAGTCATTACATTTATCCCCGTATAAAACTCGGGCAACGCATTGTACGCGCTATTAAAACTCCTTTGGTGTATTGCTTACCATCAGGTGATACACCTGGCACCTGCTTGTTTGCCTATTCTATGAAAAAAGTAAACTTTTTAAGTTTTCCAGAATGTGTAACTGAAAGCACTTAGAGAGCATTTTTTAAATTCCTATTTTTTTATGGAAT